GCAACTGGAAGACATTCATTATCTAGATGATGGCAAAGAAGAAGAAGAAGCTGAGTTAAGTGACGGTTCAAAACCTGAAGAAACTTTTGATGCATCTGAAGCAACGGTCGATGAAGACCAAATCCAAAGCCAAGACGATGACTGGCTTCTGTCTGAAGATGAAAACGTCAGCGACACTGAGCTCTGGAAGGTTCCTGAAAGTACTAAACTAGATCCTCCACAGAACAATGGACCACACGTCAGAGTTTCTGCATTGACCGGAGTTGGTTTAAAGGAGTTGATGCATCTTATTGACGAAAGATTGAAAGGTGAAGATGAGAAGCTAAAGTCTCGGACAATACTCGAAAGGAACGAGCTTCAGAGCCGTAAATGGAGACCACCTCGCAAAGATGACGAAGATTTAGCCGTTGAACAACAATAGTTGTTTGTATCGAGAGGGTGTATTCTTTGTTTTTATAATAATAATACAAAAACTACAGAAGTGTATGTCGTTTAGGTGTGAAAAAAACGGCAAAAAGTTTTTGTCATTTCTCTTTTTCACTATTAAATAGCCTGCAAATGGACGTCGTTTTCGGAACAGCGCGTCATAGCCATACGCGCTTTGAAGACGCGAGTATATAAATAAGAAGATAGCGATATTGCAGTGATAATAATAAACACTTGCGAAGCTTCTCTTTAGTAAAATTTAAGTGAGGTGTATTGAAGCTGTTAAAGGTGCATTTTCTCGGATCTCAGATCTTAGATCCCAAATCCTTCGTTTTGTGCTTTAACAAATTTGATCCAAGGTAGATTTCATTTCTTCTTCTTCTCCATGATTTCAATCCTCTTTTACGCTTTGTTGGGTTTCCTTCGTATCGCGTGAATTCCTTTTTCTTCTTTCTGCGAGCTGTTTCATGGATCTATTGGTAATCTGTTGAAATTGATTGTTTATTGGGGATTTATTTGCTATGATGTTGCTAAAATTGGAGTCGGGTAGAATCTGATAGATTTTAAGGATCTGTTTCTACGTTGATGGTTGTGTGGGATCTCTGATTTGGAGAGGAGTAGCTATATTGTTCGAGATCTTTGAATGGAAGAATTTAAAAATGCTTATTCGGTTTATGTGTTTGGTTGCTTATGTTATTCCCATATATTGAAATTGTGGAGAGTGAGCAGCTTGAGAATGGCTTTTGTTCCATATCGATTTGTTTATAATGAAAGGGCAAGATCGTTGTTCTCTGTGGCCTATTGATGTTCAGTCTAAAAGAGGGATATGGATTTATTCAATTTAGTGTTTTTTTTCTTTCTGCTTTGTAGGTTTTATAGCTTGCAAGGATCTTTAGTTATGGCGAGACGGCAAGTAGGTTCAACACGACGTGTTGGGGATGGTGGAAGCTTCCCATTTGCAGGAGCTTTGCACTCAAAGTCTCGATCGTCTCCATTACTATCTATTTGCCTTGTTCTTGTGGTATGATTTCTGTGCTTCGTCTTGTACTTCAATGGATGATTTCTTTACCCTGGGTTATGAAGTATTTCTTGACCTAAATCAATTGCTGTTCATCTTTTTTTCTGTTTCCAGGGGGCTTGCCTACTCATTGGTTATGCTTACAGTGGTCCAGGTATGTGTATCTTAGTGTATGGTCTATTTTGTATTATGTACAGTTCTTGTAGTGAGGTTTCTTATTGCCTTCATTTTTTCTTGAATACAGGTTTCTTTAAAAGTGTCAAAGAAGTCAGCAAAGTTACAGGTAATCCTTGTTATCATTTTCAGTGCATGTGCTTAAGACGAGCCATCTTATTAGCTTTTTTAAACCTGTGCAAAGGCCTGACACTCGGATTTGTTATGAATACGCTTAGGTGACTATTCTTGCACATCAGAAGTCCAAAGAGCCATTCCTGTTCTTAAGAAGGCTTATGGAGATGGGATGCGCAAAGTCTTGCATGTGGGACCTGAGACATGCTCAGTGGTTTCTAGTCTGTTGAAAGAAGACGAGACTGAAGCATGGGGTGTTGAACCCTATGACATCGAGGATGCAGATTCTCACTGCAAGAGTCTTGTGAGCAAAGGCCTTGTACGTGTGGCTGATATCAAATTCCCTCTACCCTACCGGGCAAAATCCTTCTCTCTTGTGATCGTGTCCGATGCTCTGGATTATCTCTCACCCAAGTACCTGAACAAGACCGTGCCTGAACTCGCGAGGGTGGCTTCAGATGGTGTGGTTCTTTTTGCAGGTAGACTAACATAAAACTTGAGAAAAAGGTGTTGATAAAAGAAAATTTCTGTGAGTTTCGGTTGCTAACTTTTGAACTTCAACTTCTCTAGGTCTCCCTGGTCAGCAGAGAGCTAAAGTTGCTGAATTGTCTAAATTTGGTCGACCCGTAAGTTTACTATACCTTGTTCTCCTGAGTCCTGGTGATTATATATGAAATAACCCTTCTCCATTAGTTTATAAGTGGCATTAGCGTAGTGTATGTAGTCATTAGCATCTCTTCATGATTCAAACACTGTGACTTTTGCATTTAACAATCTTTCACAAAGTTCTCCAAGACAGAGACTACAAGTACACAAGACTTGATATTGGCACTCTTTTTTTTGCAGGCTAAAATGCGTAGCTCATCGTGGTGGAATCGCTTTTTCGTCCAGACAAACTTAGAAGAAAACGAAGCACCAAGCAAGAAGTTCGAACAGGCTATTTCCAAAGGATTATACAAACCAGCCTGCCAAGTCTTCCACCTCAAGCCATTACATTAAGCAGTCACCACCAAGTCCCTATTGGTCCACATTAAATCATACTCACACGTAGAGTCGCACGC